TTTACAACGTCGTTGCCAAGCGACGAAAACCCAACCCCGATGGTAAACACCGGGGGGGACGGGGGACTATCGATTCCTATCTGCGTAGCCACTTCCTGTAGTCCCGTTGGAATATTATCATTCGCTCATGCGCACACGAACACAAGCCTTGGTGGAGCTGGTTGCCTGGCCATCCGGCGGGTGGATACATATTTCGCGTGGCTAGTATCGAATGAAGTACAAAATGGAAATTGGGATATCATATAGAATGAAATGTACCATCGAGTTCGGAAATGAAATGTGGAAGTAGATTCATGCGTGGCATCTTGAGGGTCCGCACCTCTTTCACCTTGGCGTATATTTCTCATCGTATCAATGCACGCATATCAACAATCGGGGCTTCATGGTTCAAGCACGTTTCACTGGGAATCGGTTGTCTGAGCTACGTGTAGAGTATATACCCCCTGCCGTTCAGTAGTAACCACGCAAACGACCGAGCACGGCTAACCAAAGTGAATTCGTGGGCTTCCAAGAGAGAATTGCTACCAATGGCATCTCTCGTACTCAGAGGTCGGGTGTCCCCCACAATTTGCCAACTCATCACAACCGGCTGGCGACTTTGATCTACACTGTCTATTTCTCCTATCATTTTGGTTTTACAGTCCGTGTCGTGAATGGCTTCCTTGATACATAACGCTCGGGATCCCTCGCTCTGACAGTTCCCAATGATTGTGGACTACACATACAACGTCGGGACATGGATAGTTGGTGCAGACAGTTCGGCAAAGCTACTGCTGCTCCTGAACGATTCCTCACCAGGGAAAGTGAATTGTATTCGTGTTCGTCCTTGTAGAGGAGGGCTGCGCGCTTGGCGTTACTGTCGATGTTCACCTGTTGTGTGTCAGTATGTCGAAGAATGGTTGTTATTGAATGTACAGTCATGCATGCCGCGAGGGCATACCCACCGGGCGGTGCCAGTGGTGAACGGTCCCGCTGGTATTCACGAGGGAATCTATGGATACATTCCCGTTCAGACAAGCTGACATCAATGACAAATCGCAATACTGAAATGCGCATCACTCGCATGGCTCACTCTGAATGTAGCACGATGCAATACCCCAGCAAATAATAAACTATGAATGAATACAGAGCCTTTTGTATTTGGTTTCGAGGCTTCACCGCACGTTCCATGCTGAAACCTCATCACGGTAAGCAGCACCTCTGGGTGCCGTCTTGAGGCACCACCACGTTAGAAACATTTGCTGTACAGCCTTTTCAACAAATTGTACCTCTGAGCGAGCGTCAGGTTCGACAAACTCTTGCACGATCGTCAGGTAACCCTTGAAGCCTTTACCCGCGGTGTCCTCGCTTTTGCCACCGGCTTCAACGACGGCGTAGACGGACTGCTTGAACTCCAATACATCCACCAGGAATTGAAATGACTGGAGAGAAGAGACGGGGATATACTGCAGTGATGATGCATGTAATGTTCCTACTAAGTGCCACTACGGAGATGATTAGGAAGAGATGGTAGAGTAGATCGATGATGGTGCAAGATGAAAAACATATGAAAATAACGGTCGCGGTGGCAAGGAGACTTGGGCGACCACGGCCAGTTGTGAGGTAAAGATTGCCGTTCGGTGAGTGTGTGGAAGTTGAGTTGCAAAGGATATTCATTATGAAATAATTGTGCTTTTGGCAGGATTGACCTTGACCTCAATTCAGCGCTGCCTTGTAGTCTACTGTACTGGATAGCTGTGTCCAACCAAGGGATGCAGTTCTTGGTAGGAGGCAGCAGAAAGAATAACACGAAAACATCAATGACACGCGAGAAACCGTTGAAAGACCACGAGAAGCGTCAAAGGGGGATACCCTTTCCATTTTCATACATACCTCGCTACACAGGGCCTTCCGACAAAACTCCCCGAAAGCTTCCCTCAGCGGTAGAAAGTTCATGATGTCGTCAAGCGGTGTTCCGAGGTACGCATCACTGCAAATTTGAGAGTGCACCGGAGACCTGTGCGCGCTCGCGGCAGGCAATACTGTTCGCGAAGCCTTAACGGTGCTCCTCCAAGGGATGATCCCTAACGAACGAAAGAGAGAGGGGGGGGGTGGCGATTTCAGTAATAAGTTAAACTGCTGGAATGGTATTTTGGTGAATTATTCTGTTTTCCACTCCGTTGCAACGGAGGACGATTGTATCCGTAGTTGAACATCTTCTCCACGGTCGAACCCCAACATCAGAAATGGTGCCGCACGCGAACGGACTCACCGTACAAGAGGCAGAAGCCATCAAGCGTGCTGTTCGTGCACCCGTAGTTATTGCTCAGAATCTCTCGAACGGGTTGGATGTTTCTGTGCCGGCAAAAGGCGCGATGGAGTTGAGTCATTGAGAGGCAAATATTGTGTTTTTCTTGCATCTTTCATGTGTGTCCCCCGCAGGTTCTCTCTCACTGTTGCGTAATGTACTTGTTCCTTCAGTACGCCACTTTTGTGAATCTCTTTGAACTACCCTGGGAAATGTGTCCAGGTGAACGCAGACATCTTCAGTCCCTGCTCGCCCCTGTCTGGGTTCGTCGGTTGATGTGCACTCGTTCTGGCGAATAATCGTTGGACGACTCGTCAAAGGCGATGCACACGACTTCGAATGCTTTGGCCAGACAGGCGCCATTCACTGGCGATTCCAAGGAAAACGACGTCGAAATCCCTCTCAAAACAGGTATGAGAACAGGATGGCGCTGATCAATTGCCCATCCTTTCCCCCCCGAACGGAGTTTTGTTGTTAGCTTCCATAAGCCTTCAGTAGTGCAATACTACCGTGGAAGTTGCTGTGTACAGCACGGCAATGGCACCGGTGGTTTGTTCGGGTAGGCAAGGCGTACTTACACGATCCAGATTACTGGACTGTAGCTGATGGCTGTGTGGGCCACGTGCGCGTACTTGAAGGCCAACGGCTGCATAGGCACCAGCAGTAACATCGCGTATAAACCTGTTTGGATGACACCACGAGAGCAACTAAACTGTAGTATTCCATGAAGTCGAGATGTTCGCAGCGTGTACGTATGAGTGCCTTCAATAGCGACATACACAAGTTGGTCTCGAGGTTCGATATTATTTACATGTATCGCGGTCGCTAATGTTAGAGCAGTGCACCTATCTTGCTCACGAATATCGTCAAGGGGTGATACACACAACGCCATTTGCCATGAATTTCAGCGGGAGTACCGTAGCTCTTGTATCGTAGCAGAATTTTGTACATGAGCAATGGGATCACCAAGATGTCACACGGTGCTGATTCGGACTGAGCGGTGATGTTACTCCGATGGTGGATGAAGACTCCTCTCTCGCGAATGCGTTTCAAGTCAAGAACAACGCATCGCCAGGGTAATTATTGCTTGAAAGAGAACCGCCAATGTTCAACTTTTTCTACCGTGGTGTGCCGCAAGAACAGCAACCCATTTCGAGGGCAAATCCACATGACAAAGGCACATACTGTGGTCAAAGCAAGAATAAGCAGCCCGGACGAAGCCGTGGTTGAGGTCGGTGGCAAAAGCCAACCTTCCACACACTATCGCACGTCTCTCCCTTGCTACGATTGTTACAAATGTCAAATTCTGCTCGTACTGTACGGGGGGGCGACCGTTGCGGCTCGGGACCCAGGCCAGGCCCTGATGCTATCAGTGAAGAGAGGCAGCTGCTATTCAGCTATACTGTAACTGACTCCAGTTACAACCAAGGAAGAAATTGATTGATTCCGTTACACCAGTTGCACTTTCGTAACAAGAGCTTTTGAAATGTTCTGGCAAGTGGATGGTTTGGTTTCCAACGGTGCAATCACACACACGATGCTAATAAGAAACACACACACACGCACACACACACAAGGATCAGAATGATGGTAGCGTAAACAAGGAGGACACTGGTGAAAGTACTCCTAAACGAACTCGAGTACTAGGTAATAGCCTTGGTAGACGCGTGCATTCTTCGTCTGTTGCTGCTGTTTCTGTTTTTAATCCGAAGGATAGTTTAGCCTCCCCCATGCTGCCCCCTCACGGGGTCCCAGTTCATGGTAGATAGAAGTGTTTTGTGTTTTCAACCGCACTAAGACTGACGTCTTTTCATTGGTCAGCCGGTTAGCGCGGTCGATGCTAATAATAAAAACACNATGCTAATAATATAAACACGCACACACACACAAGTGTTGGCTACGTTCTGCTGCGTGCTGGGTCTGGTTGTATAAAATCCGTTCTTGAACGCTTGTACCCATACGCTTCGCAAGTTTGGTCACCTGCCGAGCCTATCATGAAGCCTCCGATCTTCAGGCTCTCGGTGCTCACGCTACACATGTCGTCGACCTTGCCCAACTGACGGCCCATCCAAAACCCTGCCACCAATGCCACCATAACCGCCAAGGGCGCGATTATGCTCGACGTGGCGTCACCAGCGCTGCGGTGGAGGTCCGAATACGAAGTGAATGAGGGCGGCGGTGAAGAGGAAATCGACGAAGGACGGTGTACAGACGTGTGATTTTTTCTTTTAGGTTCGTTGAGGTTCCGGAGGCGCGCGTTGTAAACCTGTATCGCATTCTGAGCCAAACAGGAGCGCTGCTTGGTGTGATATAACACATACGTCGCAAGGGATGTTGAGGGTGGTCGAAGCTGTGTGACACACGCGCACAAATTGTCACATGGCCGTACCGTCATTGCGGAAGACACGGTTCTCCACAGCGCAAAACGGTGGATACCGTGCGGCTCTGGCACGGTAATCGCTTGGCGACACGACGCTAGCCTTTCTGGGCAATGTTCTTACTAAAAGTCTAAGTGTGGTCCGGTGATGACCATTGCGATGGCAAGACAGGCGACGCAAGAGTAAAGGAGCGCGGTCGATGTTCATTTCATCCTAGGGAGGAAGAAAAGTGTCACGATCCAACACGACGGGCAGTACACTATCGACCACGTCCAGAATCAGAGGCCGACGGTGCATCGGTCACGTAGCAGAGTTGCCTTCAGCAGAAACCCCGGCAAGAAGCTCACTGGACCCCCTCTCACCGCGGAATTCCAAACACCGCAGCTGCCGACCAAACCAAGATCTCCATCATAACATACGCGCAGAGAGTGGCACTGAAAATCATCCTTTCCTTCGGGATGCGCCCCCAAGCTTTCCGCCGTTGGGGGTAGTACATGAGCACGACGCGGAAAGCACGCATGATTGCTAGTGCTACGGCGCACAACACCATAGGCAGGCCAACCAGGTCGACGATCCCTATAAGAGTAACGGAACGTTTATTGGGAATTTCGAGTGGAAGGAATTTCGATTGCAGCCGTCGTTGAAGTTGAGGGATTCACGACATAGGGGCATTCGGAGCCTCGGCTACCGTACATGTGTTGAGCGATGGCACCACGCATAGTAGATACGACGCTTCAGCAACCTCAACATGGATAAGATAACGTTGTAGCCAATCTTCCATGAAAGATCACAACTCCCGAAAGGTTAGGCAGATGCTGTGGCTGGCATTCTCGAGTATTCAGCAAGCGGGGTGTTCGGATCCGCTTGTCTTACCGTCGTCCGTGGGAACTCGTCCGCCCCATGCAACGACGTACTCAAGAGTGGCGGACCACTCGCGAACGCAGAGGAAAAACCCGCACCCGCACGCTAGTAGTGGTGACCTGTTTTTCGCGCGGCGGAAATATATCTTCATCGAGAATATTTTCATTGGCCTTGTGAAGAACGACATATCATCTGCCTGCTCACGCGATGCCACACAGCAATCAATACAGAAGGACACCTAGATCACCAATCAAGGCATTATTGTAGTAAATATCGCATGATTTGTACAAGTATGCCTGTACTCTAATGGACTATAATAGACTATGTGGTTGTGACCCAGGTGGTTCCGGAGCAAAGATGCATAGACGATGGCGAGAACCGCCTGTTTTCTGCGCCATAACGCGATCGGCAACATCCTTACGCATTTCTAGACACAACACCACGTACCGCGTAGAAAGCATTTCCAATGTTTCAACCTAGAGGTGGAGACGACGGCCGGTCTAGGTACTGCTTAAAATTTTTCATGTGCATTTGCCCTTTACAGCAGTAGCAGACTGCTGTAGTTTCTCCTGTACCTCATCGCGATGAAGAAGTTGTGCCGGATGCGCCACATCACGAAAATGTACGACAAGCTCAGGATGGTGAAGGCGGTGATAGTAAACATCACCAGAACAGCCACAATCACCCGGCCATCGTATTCCTTGCCCAATTGGGGACGGGGGTCTTCCTCGTTCCCGTCGGGACCCGACATAGCCGACCAATTTCAGACGAAGTTCGAGGACGGCCAAGACGAGCAGGATCTCTCATGATGGTTCTTGCGGCGCGTCATTATGAGGCATTTTCCTATCCCTTTGGCCGATATAGGACGGAACACAAAGCGCGTGCGACCTTGAACACCACAGAGCGCGCGGGGCAGGGACCACATTTTTCTCTTGTAGCTTTTCGTCGTGTGGTGGCTTTCTTTTGTTGCTGTTCGTCGACCGTTCGCCTTTTTTCTTTTTTTCTTAATTTTTTTCGCTGCGGGACTGTCGAAGAGTTCCGCCGCATTTTCGTGGATGTGATATCTGAAATCTGATACTGCTCTATCTGACATAATCATATCGATGGGATAGATAGTTGTGGCCGACAGCTTATCTACGGTTTCGGTAGTCGACACGACCGCTTGTCGGGGTCGACGACATTCCCGTGTAGTCGCCTCCATCCCGTCTCCCCAAGAGCTATCGTTCTCTTCCACCCCCAAATTGCAGTGCAAGATGGTGCTGTCGTGGGGGGATGTAGATGCCGGCTAACGTCCCACGACTATTTATACCTCCGGGCCGACGTCCGTCCAACCTAACAGCTGCATCTCGAACTGCCCCCCCCAGCTTCTTCCACTTGAAGGGTTTGCAGGTTGGGTCTCCCTCGTGATACTGTTCTCTAATCCCTCGATGTTGGCCTCCCCACTCCGTGCTGCCACCCTCGCGCTCATCCCTCCGCCAGAAACGCGCACGCGGGTTTGTCCTGTGGAGGCGTTCGTCCGGCGAGAAGTCGGTCCCCTTTCGCCCAACTTCGTGCGTATCTTGGCCTGTTGTTCTTGATTTGGCGAATGCTTGACCCTCCCAGTGGCCGGCTGGTCGTAGTTTGGAACCTCTACACTACATCCTTTCGAATAATTACATCTGGGCCAACAGTGACACGCCCCATGAAAAGCGCGCAAGCGGCGAGAGTGCATCGAAAACATCGAACTACTGATGCACATGTCCGGGCGTATCTGACTGGCGTCTGCGAATCATGCCCTTTCAAACACGCTGCTTCATTTTCGGTCGTTCGGCGAAAAAAGTAGCGCTCACTGAGATCTCTCATGATCGCCCACCCCATATTCTAGAGGACAGCTATTGACACGTCCGCTGTGGCCAGGTCGTGGAACCATTGTCGAGGTTGCTACCGTACAAGTCGCATGAGACAGCACCTCCCGCTGACTCTTGTGTAGCGATTCGTTCGGATGACCTAACGAACCCGAGTCCAGGGAGGTTTCCACCGCACACCCTTCGCATGGGAGACCACATCACGGTGACACTTTGTGGGCGTTTGGATTCATTCCAACCACGCCGTGTATTCGTGGGGCAATACCATTTGTATATCCGCGGTATACTACAACATAGAGGCCCTGATAGCCAGCTACAGCTGACAGGTGATGACTTGGCCTTGGAAGAACCGGTATACTCAGGTAATGCTTTTGACCCTGGACAATTCGCGAGTGGGAACACTCGACTTGACGCGACCGACGTCTACTGCGGAAGGTAGAGAACCAGTTACGTGTGAAGCTGCATAGTACCTGCCCCCCGTAGGTAAAAACCAGAGACAAGACGTTGCCACCTCAGTTGGTGACTACAAACCTATGCCCTCGTAAATACCCGCGTGCAGAAGGCAAGGAAACGGCCAAACCAAACTTTTCAAAGGAGGCGGTTCGCACAAGAGCAGAAGTCACACCACACACCGTCTGTGAAGTCAAAACGCGGCGAAAAAAACGATTACGCAATGAGATCTCCCAAGACCTGGGCCATCAGAGATCATTCACCCTTCAGCTGAGCGGAAACAAGCCTCTGCGCCAATCCTCCGTCCATTTCCGTTTTGTGCGCCTTCATAAGGAGGCCCATCACCTGGTACACGGGTATGCCAGCACAATTAGGGAAAAAATGTTTTCTAGGCGGGGCGAATGCATTTTCGGGGTGAAATTACGCGAGTTGGGGGCCCTAGTCTATGAACAGCAGTACTGTCGGATCCATTCTGTCGGACACGCCACGAAATGAATAAAAGACTCGACAAAAATCCACCAGATTATCGTTTTATACCCTTGTCTAGGACTTTGCCACGTCAGACTATGTTGTAGACCTTTCGACCCATGCCAACGCGGATACGAAATCGAGCGGAGGCAGGGTGACAATCAGGGACGGACGGTTCATGCCATTAGCAAGTGCTCGAACCCTGATATTTCTCTTCGATGAGCCTGTCCTTCGGGATGGCAGACCAACAACGATGCAAGCCTGCCTCTATTGCGCGAGGGTCCTCGAAAATGCTGAAGCGACTCGAGGATATTCGGTCCGCACAAAAAAGGCGTTTCAGTGCGCGAACAACTCCCAAACGAGAATCCATAATGACAGCTCGAAAACCATCCTCCAAACTGCCTGCCCCGAACGTAGCCCATGTCCGTACCTTCCCCATGTCGGACGGGCCCTTAGCGCCGGCCGACGCGATTGCCTCATCGACCCATTTTTGAGTCATCGCCTCGTCCGCTAGCTGACGATTTGGGCGCGGGTACATATTGCCGGGCGATCGCAAATCGGAGGGTGCCAAGAATACCACGCCGACGGCGCCGGCAACGGGAGGGCGGTGAATGAGACCGCCGGCAGCGGAAAGTCTCAACAGACAAGCAAGACAAATACACAAGTGGGTGGAACTACCTTAATGCTGTTGTCGTCGTTGTTGCCGGTAAAGGAAGTCCTTCTTCGTCCATAAGCCGAAGCGCACAAGAATTTCGCCACCAGCAGTCTCAGCACATCATACCAAGGAGAGTTAAGGGTTCGGTCACAGAGCCCCGATGAGATCCTTACGCTGATAGGCCTCAAAACCCATATTATTAAGACAACGGTCAGCAACTATTACGGGAGAGACATTCAATCGATTACGGGAGAGACATTCAATCGACGTCAGGACGGTTCAAATCGGGAAAATACAAACAACGAACCCACCGACGAACGCGCCATACATCGAAGGTTCGTGACCCCCTGAGAATATTTAAGTCCCTCTTTCACTGTTGCCAGAAGGTCGGCGTGGACGACGTCAACCGAAAAGCGTACAGCAGTACGTGCGCATGCCAACACTCACACACACGGGCCTCGCACCTGAGGGAGCATCGCGTCGATGAGCTGTTTCGTCTTGGTCTCCTTTTCTACGAGGTCGTCACGTTTCCCCTTGCGGTACATGTCGATCGACTCCTGCTGCTGCTTCGACATTTTTCGGAGGATGGCGATGCACTTTTCGTCTGGAAGCTTGTCCCCCGATCCCGCCTTTGGGAAAAAAAAAAAGAAGCAAAATTACAATGTGATAACATGCGCGGACATCACCAGCACGGTGAGCGCGTACGAAAACGCCGCAGGTGTTCCATCAAAGCATCGAATCCTTGCCACTTGCATACCAGATATTGGTTGGACCCGCTCATGTAAAACCCAAAAAACCTGACTCAAACTGTCATCAACTCAATTCCTTCAAGTTATTGCAGCTCGTACTTGAGACGAACACCTCATATTGCGAACGTGGGGTCCGCGAATGCCGAGCGGACCAAACATGTTATCAAAACAACGCATCACACAACGGACAGTTTCATGAGCTAACTCATGGGTCGGGTGCATATTTCCCTCGGCCAAACATGCAGGGATGAGCTATGTACGCCCGTGCACCTCTTGTGGGCAGAAGGAAAACTACGAACTCGAGTTTTCATAGAGCTGGTCTGTCCCCCACCTACTTGGTACGATCGGGTCCTTCCCAAGCCGTCCACACCACGCCCGGACACCAGTTTTAAGCAGTCTGTCCTGTCCTCCTACATTGATTCAACAACACGCCCTCTCCTGGGGCAGATCTGTAGGCCCTCACCGCCTTGGTTTCCGTCAAAAACGCCGCCCGGACCATCCGCAAACCCTCAAGCCTGCACGCAACGCGAAGACGCACAGGGGGGACGGGGGTGAGGAATACTCCTCCCGGAATTCTCGTTGTGTTTGGGGTACAGCACTCGCATCCGCCCGAAGCCTTGATGCACATCGCCGAGGTTTCCATTGGCCACGCCGGCACGTGTGGCCACCACCACAACGGACGGGAAGGGTTCAGAGTCCACCACAACAACGGCACGTGTGGCCACCACAACAACGGACGGGAAGGGTTCAGAGTCCACCGACCATAACAACAAAGACAACGTCGCTGCCCACAGCGACGCCCGCCTCCACCATCACCACAACCAGCACCGGCATCTTTCCCACCCACTGCTCAAATGACGGTTTCAACAACTTGCAGAAAACTGTCTTACTTGGGCTTGTCGCCGCTCTTCATGGACGCCTTCATCTCGGCGGTGACGTCGTCGAAGATTCCCATGCTCAGTCTTGTGGAAGAGGCCGCTCTTCTGCACCCCGCTCCGGCAGCGCTCGTCCATGCCTTCGCAGCTGAGGGAGCATCGGACACGGCGGGGTGCACTCATGTCAACGCATGTCATTGCCATACACGTTAGACCATACCGCGCATCGCTACAATGCTGGGAAGGGGCGATATCGCTGGCCCAGGCGGCGTTTCACAAGGATGAACCAGAAGCTGGATGTCCTCCTTGCAGATGCTGTACCAAACGAGATACGTCATCGGTTGATTGTTCGGGGAAGGTTTCTTGCCTAATGGGCATCACGTAGTTTGACCATGAGTCAGGCGTCCATTTCGACACGAAGCGAGTGCCAATGTTCTGCCGCTCGAAATCTTAACAAAACATGGGAAGCAGGAGGGAGCCGTCCTCGATGGGAGTTGAGGAGATGAACTATTCCGGGCGCAGGTTGTGTTGAAATGTTTTGCCGTTAGCAAAGCTTCTCCGATACAGAACGCGCCCGCTTTTGCCCGAGGCTGAGGTTATCAGTGTCTGGGGTCATGCGACGGGTGGACGCTATAGCCTTTAGTGTAGGGGTTCTAAACCGAGCTCAAAAATGGTGCTCAAGTCCTCCGATTTTGTTTTTTTGGGGCTCAATTTCTTGAATCCAAATTATTGAGTGCGGGCGCGTTCTGTGTTGCGCAACCAACACCAAAAACCAAAGTAAGAACAATGTCCCCCATTCACCAAAAATACTTCAACCCATTCGCTTCGACGACGGTTGTACCTAGAACGGATAGTCTCTCTGTGACTGCATGTATGTTTAACAATCACACGCACTCCTATCAGGCAGACATGCAACTTTAAACCCTTTCCAGGCCGCGGGAATTCGTGCAGTGACTCTGCTGTCTCTTTCGGGCGGCGAGTGCTGCTCTCCTAGCCAGCCTGTGCCATCCCCTCCTCTTCCTTTACCCCATTTTTTCTGTCTTGTCGGCATTGGCTTGCGGTTATCCTAGTGCTTGCCTTTCGTACCAGTTGCGGGGCAGCAGGGGTTATTGGGTCTTCTACAAAGCAGGACAACTGCGCTGTGTTTGGAAAGCGCGAATTGGCAGCCGAAGCGCTAGATGTAAATAGGTACACTGCTGCAGTGCACAACTTATCGATCGCGGGCGGCTGCGGTGTGAATATCTATGCATACATGTACTCCAGACGCCATGCCTCAAGATACTGTAGTTTTTTTCTTTTTCTCCCATCATCGGATTCTGTCGTCTGCCCCTCTGGCCCCTATCCTCCACTTATACTAGCTAGACGACCCATCCGGGGTCACACAGGAGGGGGGGGCTGGACCCCCTCCTGCGGTTCCTGCCTGAGGTATTTTTATGGCGAGAAGGGGACAGCAATCCCTTCCCTCGCGACTTACGACGTCGATTATGGTTTACTAACAACGAGCTTTGCAACGCATCGCTTTCATCCTAGACCAGGATTTATTTAGTGAGAAAAAAACTCAATCTGCCGGGACTCGATGCCATTACCTGGCCCTTATCAGCCCGCGAGGCTACCCACTAGACCACCGGGGCGACCGGAATGTATGTACAGACGCGAATCAGAGGAGATTTGGTCAGGAAGTTCGCCCCGATACCCTAAGCACACAAAAGTGGCCGAATTCGCCAGTGCAGCCGCTGTTGCACGCCGGGCGGGCGCGTTGACTTGTGTGTTGTGCAGGCTTGATCCGTGCATGGAGCCACCACGTGTCAACGCCCGGTGGCGTCGTGGTGTCTGGGGGATGCGGGATATTATTCGTCGGTTCACCCCAGCCCGGTTGTTCCTATGTACTTGCATTGCATGGTTACTACAGCAACCTGTTGGTGTTAGAGACTGGTGGGATTTGTGTCCCTCGAGCCATTCACACCTGAAACACTCCGCACCTTTGCCAGGCTGACGACTCTACACTATACTCAAAAGGTTAGGATCTGGTCTACGGCTGCAACTGCCTTGTGTACCGCGAACTGCTGCAACTACTACTGCTGTAATATGTTTCAACAGTGTGGCAGATCAAGTACTGCAACTCCATGCAAGACTGCTGTAGACGGTACGCAATGCTGGTACCAAAACGTCCCAGCACACAATAACCTCTCTTACGGCAGGCAGCACGCCACAAGCCGTGCCAGCGGCTGGCGGTGGATCGTGTGTCAATTGACGCTGCGGCAACCGCACACAGACCAACTCAACGCATGTTTAATCATGAAATCACCATCTTGAGTTTCAATTCACACCTTGCCGCCTGGATACGCCGGCAACCTGGTGGGATGCCGGGAGGGTGACAAAGGCGGACACTTGGCCCAGGGCAACGGTGAAGGCCGGGAGCGCGTGGCGGAAGAACTTCATCTCTTGGTATGGTGAGCGAAAGAAAGGTAAAGGTGTTACGTGTGCTGCAACCTGGAGACGCGGCAAGGGGGTGACGCGAAATGTTTTGCTCCGCCGTCGCTCTGTTGCAGCAACGCGTTCAACCGCCCACCGCTCATCTGCGGTGACTGCGTTCAAGGGCATGGCTCCTGTTGGTACTCGTTGCCTGGGGTGCGCCCTTTTTGCCGCCGCCTTGTCCGGCGTCTCGGCGTTCGTTGTCCCCACGGCCTCTCAGCTCCAGGAAGTCAGAGCGCTCGGACGCCGGCATCATGATGGGCGGTCACATCAACCTACTCAGCAGCAGCAGCGACGCACAGGTCGCTGGTGAGAGAGAAGAGCTTGCTATGTAAAAGTACCAGTTTTGCAGCAATGCCATGCAGTGGGCATGTCGTGGCACGGGAATAGTTCATATCGCTCCTGCTTCCGCTGGGAGAAACACCGAACCAGCAGCAGGCCTCGCGCATGTTTCCCGCGCCAGAGTGAGAGGTAGAAGGGTGTGGGCGACTGCCGCGCGCACGAGAGTCGAGTGTGGGGAAGCCGCTCGGGGGCGGCAATAGGCTATTGGTGTTTGCAGCGACAGCCGAACGTCGTGGCAGTAATGGTACAGCAAGCCCTTCCTCTGTAGCTGCTGCGACGTTATGGTCTTCCTCGTTGAACATGAACGTACACACCTCAGTGCTGAGTGTCTCGCCGCATGCCAACTATCCGCCGACGGCAATGTCGTCCCGTTTGACTTGTTGACATTGAGTGCCCCAAACAACGGCAGGACTGCTGTAGCGACAAGCAGTGAATTCATGTGCTGATGTGACTCAACGCGCAATCAATGGCAGCTTGTTGAAGTGGGTTCCTCTTGGTCGGCAGGATGACGGTGCAACGGCGGAATGTACTGCTGCTGCTTGGCTTACGTACGACTGTAGTATTAGTAGAATGCAGCGTACATCTACCATTGCAGGTGTGCCGTGTGCATACCACCTGGCATGGAGGCCCTTGCCTTTGCATTCAACCTCGATGCCCGGTATCGTACGAGTCGGTGTTCCGCTGTTGTCACAAGCGTCAACCCTAGGTGCCACATGAGAGAGGAGGCAGAAAGACGACCAGCCACGATTGAGGGATGTCTTGCTGAAGGTCGGCAACGACTTTTAACAATCCGAGAAAACGCCTAGTTCAAGAACGATGTACAAGAGCACTCGTAGCAAAACGCGTCGCAGGGGTTCAGGCCATGTGTTAGAGCAGTACTGCTAAGGCCTCCACAGCAGTCAATTCAATGTAGTGGTGGGGCCTTGCCATCCACTCGGTGGCCAGTCTTTCCTGTTTCGTCGGGAAAGCATATCTGCGACGCTCACGACGACCCCCCGTATTCATTCTAACAGGAGCGCGGCGGGGGTTGTAATGATGGGTAGGCGTGCCGCCAAGATAGCCAAGGTGAAGGGGCGAGAGGACGCCAAGCGCGGGAAGGCTTTCGCCAGGATCGGCAAAAAAATCATCATGGTGAGTGCGTACATACGCGATGACGATTGACGTCGGCAAACACACACATCCTCCCATGTCATGGCCTTCTGAAGCATCTTTTGTTGTCAACAGCACAAGACCAACGTCTTTTCATCGGTCAGCCGGTTGACGCGGTCGATGCTAGCAACAAAAACACGCACACATGCGGACGGCACGTAGTGTCCGACAGAGCGGGAGTGAATCGCGTGGGTCAGCGGTTGTCCTCCACCTTGCGAAACCGTCCGTACTTGCCGCTACGGCATTGCTGCTTTGGACCACTGTCGAGGTCCTATCGGCGTTCCGCGAACGACGCACTGGGGGTGGAGTTTCCGGCGGCGTCGCCGTCTGCTCCTCCGTGCACCGTGCACATTATTTTACCGCATTCTTTGATTCGTTCTTCGATTTCTAGAAATGGTGTACCCCTTCTTTTGGGTAGTTGGCATGTGACCACGGGAAGAGGTCCGCATCAGTTGGACCAGTACAGATATTGTGAGGTCCTGAGCGGAGACCGGAGCGGTTTTTGAATGCGAAACAACAATCACGACCACAATAACAACAGCAGCAGCAGCAACAACGAGGGCAATGATATCGTACCTCGCCGTCGTGCTTTGTGCGCCTTGCAGGCCGTGAAGGCGGGAGGGCCGAACGAGGACACCAACAAGCAGCTGGCCGACACCATCAAGGAGGCCAAGCACAACAGCGTGCCCAAGGACAACATCGCGAGGGCCATCAAGCGGGCGGTCGACGGGTCTCAGGGCGACTTCAAGGAAGTCATCTACGAGGTGACCCTTTTTTGTCTGCAACTGGTCGTGTGTTCTTGTTTAATCATTGTTTTTTTTATGTACTCCATACGTTCACTGAAGCACTGCCCGTTCGAGATATAACCTCAAGCAGTCGTGTTGAAGTCTTTACAGGGAGTGGAAGGGATATCGGCAAATTTCTAGAGTGTAGTTGAATCACTGCCGCTTCCCCCCTTCCCTCGGTCAACCGACGACCCGTCCGCCCCGCTTGACACCGTCCAGGCGTACGGACACGGGGGCACGGGGATGGTTGTCACCGCCCTCACGGACAACGTGAACCGGGCTATCGCAGACGTGAAGGCGGTATGGAAGAAGCAAGGGCTCAAGCAGGCCGCACAGGGGTCGGTGCTGTTCCAGTTCGAGAAGAGGGGGAGGGTGGAGGTGCAGGGGGAGGTCGACGAAGAGCAGGTGAAGGTCGGGGGCTCCGTAGTTTTCGTTACAGTAGCCTTCGCAGGCCTTTTATATTGAGTACACACGTTGGATACAGTATGCAATCGGGGAGGTTGGGTTCGGGATGGGGTCTGCGTACCCCTCCCTGTTCGATTCCTTCACAACATCAAATTCTCGAGAAGACGGTCCTTTCTTTTTCAGCTTGCACCCTTTGACGACACTGCTGAGCTCTCATGAGCCCGCTCCAGAGGCCATTCACCCCTGTATGTACTAAGTACTGCTTTCAAGTACCTTGTTTGTTTTTTCGTGCCATCTGTGTGCCTGACTCTTGCCCCTCCGCTGTTGTGTGCTGTGCGTGTGCCTGGCCCAGGTAATCGAGGCCGCGATCGAGTCCGGGGTAGACGACGTGGAGGTGGTGGAAGGAGACCACGAGGGGACGTCCTGGATTCTCACGTCACCAAAGGACCTCATGACGCTCACAGGTAAAAGTAGGACGTACGCCACATTGTCGGGGTTCGTTGTTGTTGTTGCTGCTTTTTGTGCTGGCAGTTGTTTGTGTATCGTGGGCCGTTTGTGGGTCTGCCTTGTGCGCCTTCTGTGATCACGGGACTTTTGGGGTCTCGTAGACGACGCGGTGGAGAGAGGCCCACCAATATTTTTGAGGCCAATACGAAAACACGGACGGGCTGATCCAGAACAGCCTCATGAGACACATGAACGACATGATCATAAGACAGGATGTTGATATGAATGAAGCAGCCGGTATAATTTCATGTATGGTTCGTTGTCTCTTTCGCTAACGAATCAGCCCTTCCTCATGTCACCAACTGCTTTCCTACCTCCACAATTCTGCCAAGGCCGAAGTTGATGCTCCTATCGAACACCATGGCTGGAAGGTGTGTAGGAGGTTGTAGGAACACGCGGTGAGCTCCGTAAAAATAAAATAAAACGTGGACCACGATCAAGAGGGTAAACGCGAGCAAACATGAGTTTCCCGTAGGTGCTACCCCCGTCCCGCCTTTGTCCAAGGCCAAGTGGTGTCACGCATAATTGAGAGCGCATCGTCCCCTCCCCATGGTCAACAGGTGCCTTGAGTGAGGCAGGGATAACAGGGGAAACTGGCCTGGCTCTGATCCCATCAGGACTCGCGGATGTCGACGACGAGGCGATGGAGCTTAACCTAGCGGCGGTAGAAGCACTGTTAGAGCTGGAGGACGTAGACACGGTTGACCACAACATGGCGTAGAGGGGTTTCCATGTCTAGCCTACTAGTGTAACGTTGTTGCGTTTGGAGGGGGGGGAGGTCGGGCACTCTCCCTTGAAGCTTGGAAGGCGTTGGCATGATGGGGAACACAGCGTGGTGGCGGATGCCTTTGAGGCAGTTTTCGTGGCACGAGCGGGGGGTTATCTGACCGATTAGAACTATGTACGTGCACTGCGTGGGCACAGGTATAGGACTGTGTTATCGTAAATTTCACAGACGACTGTATCGTGAAACAGCGACGGCGGGAATGGGCTTAGATTCCGCGTTATACTGCGAAAATAGATGCGTTACTTTCTACACGGGGGTGAGCAACGGCCTTTTCCCAGCGATCAAATATGCCTTGCCAACGACATGCGGGTGCCAAGGCCACGACTTGTGCACGGGAAGCCTACGTTTTTCAGAGATGAACCGATACGTGAAGCAGGATGCTGAAGACGTCCTTAGTTTTTACCGTTCTAGCACCGTTCTGCTAGCGATCGAAGAAAGACTTTGCACACACGCGCCAATATGTGAACAAGCTTGGTGCGTGCGTCCTTACTGCTACTCCTACAAGAGGCGCTTTGTTCCGAAAAGGACCTACTGTTGAACGGCCTGTAAATGCAGGGCGTTGTCACGAAAAGGTGGCCTGGTGGGTGGAAAATACCCGACTGCGAAAACTCCCCGGCCTCGTGTATCCGCAATGGTTCGAAGAAAGCTATTCTTGAGGTGTAACTGGAGCTGTTTCGAACGCTTTTCAGCTTGCTCGATTACTGATCCAGCGACGGGATGGAATGGAAGCACGCCTACATGCATCAAAAACAGACGCTGTGATTGTTGGTTGCTGAATATTTTGATACGATGTTGGGTTCGGCCGGCACGCACAGCAGGCAGCAGACCTGTGGTGCATCTAGCTCGGGACCTCCGCCCTCTTGAGACCGAGCATCTTCGTAACCACGGACCAGCCGCTGGGGGCGGTGATCGTGGTTTCGCTTGTGTCACCCACCATGGTGTACACTTGCGTACGCCAGGCATACGCTCAACTCAAGCCTACCAAGACAATAACGAAACGTCGACGCCAAGGCATAGGTCCTGATGATTTAGGCTGTGCGTGAATAAGCTACAGACCATGAACAACAAGGAAGCAAAAACTTGATTATTGCTCATATTTTCCGATGTGCCTGTTGCCATAGGCTTTGAGAATCATCACCAATTTCACCTTTCCCCCCCCCCCCCCG